GGGGGAGGGGGGGGGGGGGGGGGGGGGGGGTTCTAGATTTACAAGTACAAGTACCCGAAGAAACCTGGTACGGGAGAGTTAGAGATCACTAAACCAAGCCTTGACTTAGGGTGCTTACGCCCGAGCAAAACAAGGATGGAACAACAAGCTGCATGTGCCAATCAACCAAAGCCCGTCCGCCGTACGGTATATGGGGGGTTCCGAAAATAGGGNNCCTAAATAGTAGGATCCTTGTTACAAGGGCCCCAAAATAAGGTACCCCTAATTTTCGGAAACTCCCATATTCCTAAATCAAGTCGCAGCCGTGGCCCGAAGGGTTCTATCAATGTAACCATATACTCCCCGAGCGCGAACCTACAATTGCTACTATCCTAAGTGGATGCAACATGATGTTAAGTGGATGCAACATGACGTACGTGTAATACAGCGCTGTGGACCCCAAGCACCAAAGCCTTAACCACAAGCAGTAAACACTGAAACCTGAAAGCCCAAAGCAAGTACAATCTTGGCAGCTGGCCGTGGATGCCGCAAGCGCCGACTTTCGATCGTCGGGGCTCCTGGAACGGTACGGGTCTCTGCTTTAACCTACCTCAGCCTGCTGTTGAAGGTTCTTACTTGGAGGTTCATGGGTACTTTTAAATAGGGTTAAGTAGGATAACTATACTTATAACCCATATTAGGGGACTTTATAACTACCCATGAACCTCCGAGTATTCCAAACCCTAACATAGAATCTATAGGGACCCTGCAAAAGCATTGGTTTTTGGTTGTTGAAGGTAGGCTGAGGGGTTGCTATGCCGGGTTCCATGAAGGCTCTATAAGGGTTACTGAGTTCTGTAAGATGCGGATGCCAGGATAGAGGGTTGGAGGGTTTTTTCGAACAAAATCTGAAAGAAGGAAGACTTCGGAAAACGAACAAACGAACAACGTTCTTATGAGCCTTATGGGAGTTTCCGAAAATAAGGGGTACCGCATTTTGGGATCCTTACAATAAAGATCCTACTATGTAGGTTGCTAGATTAGGGTCTGTTTTCGGAACCCCCCTTATCTATGGTAACCCCAAGCGTCCTTTTGGGAGCCGCAGTGGCCGCATCAGACCTCACCCGACACTGGCTCGGCGCCATTGTTGATGGTTTGTAGGGCTTAGGCTTTGGAGTGTGTCGGGTTCTTGGCTGAGGGTCTATGGGATTTAGGATGTATGTCATTGGGTTTGTAGGATTTAGGGCTTTGGGTTTGGGCTTTACAGTTTATGTCTAGGATATACCGGTAGTGTTTTCCTCATTCTTGTCTTCGCATGTTAGTTTGGTAGTTTAGAGGTTAAAAATACCGGATTTTACGGCAAGGGTTGCGTTATTGTATGGAGCTTCGAGATCAGGGTTTAACACGGATTAGGATGACGGGGCATGGCTTCAGATCTTACGTTCGGTGCTTTGTATAATGTAGAGACCTAGAAACTCGAAAGGGTCATCATGTGTGGGTTGGAGTTCGGGGGTTGAAGGTTTACGAGTCTACGGATTGGGATATTCTCACTTCGTGGCTTCGGAATGCTTCGGTTCTAGGTAAAGATCAAAAAGGCCTGGGTCTGGGTGATCTAAATTGCCGCAGGTAGTTCAGCTTATGCAACCAAGTGGACATCCTTCTACTGCCCTTCCCTTGAACTCCAGTTACCTAAATACAGTAAGCCCCAAAAAGTTGGAAACCGGACTAAGGACAATAGCGCTGGGATTCCCTATGCATTGCTCTTAAGGATTGAGGCTATTGGGTTTCCAACTTTTAGGATTCTACCCAAAACCCTAAACCCTAAACCTAAACCCTAAACCCGAAACCCTAAACCCTAATACTTTACTGGGTCACTGGGCTACAAAAGGGGCCTGGCTGAATCTCGTTGAGTGTTCTTACAGTCGACCTTGGGTTCTCGATATATTGGGATATGGGTAGTTCTCTAAATTAGGGTCCCTTTTGGGATCCTTTTTAAAAGGGTGCCGTACTATGTTGGGGACCTAAAAGGGGACCCTAATTTAGAAAACTACCCATGTGGGTACTGTAGGGCTCATCCACGGTGCAAGGAACAATAACCCTCCGTGTAGATCGCTGGATTTGTGGAGCTCCTACACTCGGCACCCTCAAATCAAGCCTTTTACTTATCCTTAACACCTTCCCTAAACCCCTAAACCCGAAACCCTAAACCCCGAAATTATCCTTAAAACCTTACCCAAACCCCTAAGCCCTACACCCTGGACCCTTTCATTATCCTCAAGACCTAGCCCACACCACCGTGACCCCGCCAAATCCCCACCTTAGCCCCCTCCAACACGTCGTAATGTAGGGGCCTTAACAATTAGAATAAGGATTTAGGGGTCAGGGTCTTAGGGTTTTGGGGCCCATTATACTACAATTATAATACGGAACCCCCGAAATACGGCTGATGGACAAAATCCTGCATGACCTTATTTACCTAAACTTTGGGATTTATGGTACTATACTGTATTTGGGTCATGCAGAATTTTGTCCATCAACAGTAGTATAGGTAATTACGTAGGCCCCTGCACTGAGAGCAGCTGGGCTCCGGACCCCGAGACTTCGGGCCTGCGCCGCACGGCCACGCAAGTCACTCTGGGTTTGGGGCCTTCATGTCTTAGGGTTTAGGGTTTAGGGTTTAGGGTTTAGGGTTTAGGGTTTAGGACCTTCATGTCTTAGGGGCTGAGTACCCTAGCCCAAAAAAGGTTAGCCTTTTGAATTATAGTAGGATTATAAGAGCCCTAAAAGGTTAAAGGCTACCTACTCAGCCACTAAGATGTACTGTTTAAAATCTTCAATGTAACGGCTCTACAGTTTAGGGTTCAGGTCTTATAGGGCTGAGGATTAGAAAGCTATTTGTTGGACCTGCCTTCTTGTGCCTCGCTTTTGTAGGGATTCGGAGGTTTGCCCAGAGAGCTCTACATCCCTGCGTCACCATCCTTCATCCGATTCAGAGCACCCGTGTCGGATTGTTAATTCCTGCGAGAGATGTCCTCAAGACTAAGCGAGCCCCTAAATCCCGAACACCAGCGGGAGCGAGGATGCCGGAAGGTCTCAGCAGTGATGTCTTCCGAACCTGGCGGGAAACGCTAACGCAGATAGGCTCATTGACTGGTGGTGTAAACATTCTGAGGCATCATACGTGCACGGCCACTTTTCATGTTCCGGAGCTCCAGTGTCACATCTGTAGTCGATTTGAAATGTGCTCATTCCTGTTCTTTCTGGAAGTTTCTCATGCATGCCAGCACCTTCATCTCAACTGGTGTGAACTTGAGCGGAATGTACCATTGGTGGAGATGAGCTTGATATGATATGTGCGTGTACAGGTTTGTCATAACTTGGCGAGAAGTCGGCGGTGCAGACTCGTGCACAGCTGCTTGCAAGAAACTCGCAGTGGGACATGATCCGGGACATGAGAACTCTCGCAGATTTGTCATAATATGCTTCGTGTGGTCGGTTCTGGACGTTTCTTGTCTGATCCTGTCCGCATACCACTCAAACAATTCCACCAGCTCATTCCTTTCAAGCATTATGCTTTGAAGCTCTACCAGCTGAGCCGGCTTTAGAAAGTGCAGCAGAAACAAGGCAGTCTCCGCCGGGGTCTCCGCTTTCTGCTTCTTTGCCTGAAGCTCCAAATTCTTTGCACCCCATGCATCCCATCTGAAATTCACTCTAGCATTCTCTTCCTCCGCCATCAAGCGAAGGAGGCTGGCTTTGAGACTGGCTTTTCGCTGCCTCACTTCAGGGTCATCCGGGACTTCGAGAAGCTGCAACGGCGGCGGCATTGTTTCTCTTGCTGCCTCAGAACGGACTGATCTCGTCGCATCACGAAGGACCGCCCCCACCGCACGGCGAGTTCCATTGGATCCAAGTCTTGGAAGAAGACCCATGACGATCAACGAAATCCTACCAGGCTATTCGCTGAACCAACACGGCTACGCCTCCAGAATCATCGGATAGTGACATGTTCAGGTATGCAGTGGCACCATCCCTGGCACACTTGCGGTGTCCGTCGAGAAAGCGCGCCCGAGCGCACCTCCTTGAAGTGGAGGACGCTGCTGTAGTTGAAGGTGTTGCCGATCACGTATCGGATGCGGGACGAGGGGTTATGGGCTCAAGGTTGAGATTTTACGAAAGCATCAATCAGGCACAGTTGGCGGTAGTGTGTTCTGGGATGCTTCTGGTGTTGGATGGCGTGTTGGAATTCGTTGTGGGTTTTGGGCGAAAGGCTTTGCCATGAGATTGTTTTATGGGATTGGTTGAGAATTTGGGGAGATACTTTGTGCTTGGGATGCTTGGGAAGGTTGCTTCATTCGGCTGCTTAAGAATGAGCGCAAAAGCCTGCAGGAGTATAGGATGTGAGTTTAAGTCTGGGGTGTGCCATTGCTTGATGTGGGACCACGGGGTTTTAGTAAACCCTAAACCCTAAACCCTAAACCGATCAGCCCTACACGCCCCAAACGGTGCCTCGGTGCTGAGGATTTTGGGCCACCTGACGGATGTGGTGACTTAGAGGCGATCGGATCAGGATTCAGACGTTACCTGTGGCTCCAATTCCCACGGGGGCTTCAGCAACCCACATAGTCGGTAATCACATGTTATGCAACTCGATAACCTGTTATATTGGCAACTGGAGCCCTGGACGGATTACTACGAAGTTTCACGTACTACTATACAAGTATAAATGGTCGGAACCTCTTTTCTGTGGGTTTTGAATCCACAAGCCCTAAACCCTCAACATTCCTAGACGCTATTTGACATTAAGCATGCCGAGACCCAAAACATCCCTAAACCCTAAACCCCTAAACCCCTAAACCCCTAAACCCTAAACCCTGAACCCTATGCCGCTACTCTGTTCCGGACTCAAAGCCTGCGTTGCTAGGTCCAGGGACTTGAAGCTCGGGCTGGGCTTTTCGAACCTTGAGTTGTTTGCTGCTTTGAGGGTTTAGGGCCTTAGGGTTTAGGGTTCAGGGTTTCGGGTTTAGGGTTTACGTAGGCGAGCAGTTTGTTAAAGGAGAAAGCTGTGTGCTGCTTCGCACTCTTGCTCTCTACAGGTGAGCTCGGTAGGACTTGAAAGTGGCAGCCCGCTCATAGGGTACTCCCACCCTGTAGGATTGTAGCACTGCCCAGGGAAAAACCCATGGTCGCTCTTGCTCTGCAGGCATCGCAGTGAATCACAGACCTCTATATACCCAACCCCACACCCGATTCATGAAGCCTCAACCGTTCTTCCCCAAGCCTGAAACATTCAACCCCAACAGTTTAAACCTTACACCTCAACCCCCGCCCCCTTAGCTATGGACTGCGACAGCCCTCAAATCTTATGTCTAGACAGTAGAGTTCTAAACTAAACCAATGATGGACATCCCACATCGGTACCTAGTTCTCATCCCTCCAAGCTCGAGCTGAAACTCTCAACCTTCATCAACAGCCCGCAAAACTCGAATCAGAAAGCCAACAATAGTCTACATCAACATCCCAAACCACAAGTCCTACAAAACCTCACGGATCCCTGAACCGCAGCAGCATCCCAACCCCTCTTGAAGCCCATTTCGAAACGGTTTCTGTTGGCGTCAGATTGCACCTACTAACGTGACCTACAAAGACATCCTGACCACTACCAATCTGTGAACGCACATATAACATATTGCATTCTACCAAAACCTACAGAAGAACCCCGAAAACTCTACACGCCCACATAGCATACTACAAAACCCTACAGAAACCGAAAAAGCCTCATGTTGGGGTCTGAGTCATTCGAAAAAATGTTGCCGAACAGCTCTATTAGCTAGATATACTATCATAGACACCCGAACCCTTTTCACACATGTAAAGCCCTGTAAAGCCCTTGCAAGAACCAATACAAGCCTATCAGCATTTTGAAGTGCATTTTGCACCGTTGACCCTACCTATAGTCTCCATTATTGCAATTCCTCCTTTTGGCTATCTTCTGGCATCCTATATATGACATATGTACGTTAAACCCCCAAAAAAGAACTACAATGGCGAATCTAGGTAATGAATGCCGGGCCTTAATAATTAGAATAGGGTTTCGGGCTCCTTTATACTATATTCTGAATAAGGAACCCTAAGTATAATATCGGTATTTATTTAGGCCCATATATTACCCCTTAACCTGTGCCCTGGGGGCCTGGGCCAAGGAGGCCACTCAGCGCACCCGCAGCCGAGGACGTCATGGCCGATTGGTTCAGCACCGACTTGGCACCCGACCTTATGGGCTCATTGGGAGTTTAGGGTTTAGGGTTTAGGGTTTAGGGTTTGGGGTTTGGGCTCATTGGGCGTCGGGGTTTTAGGTGAGTTTCGGTTGCCCATTTGAGCACGGGCTTGGATTGTATGCCGGCAAGATGCTCGAGGGCAGGGACTTCCCAGCTGGAAAGACTGTACATACTGGGGTATGCAGCTACGAGCAACTGTTTCGTTTCGGTTGCCCTAAACCCTAAACCCTAAACTTAAAGCCCTAAGCCCTAAACCCCAAAACCACAAAACCCTAGACCCTAAACCCCTAAACCCAAAAACCCCAAACCCTAAACCCCAAAACCCCAAAACGCTAAAACCCTCCGGTTCAGGGATGAGGGTTTCGGCTGCTGCAGGCTTGGAGTTTGAGGCACTTGGGTGTCTCCTGGAAGTTCTAAGCACGGGTTTAGGGTTTAGGGGTTTAGAGTTTTAGGGTTTAGGGTTCAGGCGTTTAGGGTTTAGGGGTTTAGGGTTTAGGGGTTTAGGGTTTAGGGGTTTAAGGTTTAGGGGTTTAGGGTTTAGGGTCTAGCGGTTTTTGGGTTCAGGCTTGCCAGCTATTGAGGTTGAGGGTGTAAAAGGGTTTTGTGGTTCAGGTTCTATCAAGCGGTGAAATAAGCCTACACCATGCAAAATGAATCCAACACCCCCAGCTCTTCTAATCTCCACAGGGTGTACCGAACAAAGCCTCGATATGCAAACAAGCCTGGAAAGAGGCAAAAACGAAGCCTGAGCCTCTAACCACAAAAGACCAAAAGACTTAAGCCCTAACCACTTTAAGGATTGAACCCCGAAACCCAAAACCCCCAAGCCCTGTACCCTGAACTTCTTCCAGTCATTCTTGTAGACCAGCGTAACGGAACCCATGAAAGTACCACTCCCCTAACGGAACCTGTACAGGAAGCCTGAAATCGTAAAGGAACCCTGAAAGGAACTGTAGAAGCCGGTTGGAAGATTGGCATCCCTTACCCCAAACCCTAGAATGAAAGGCAAAGTCAGCACATTGCCTCACCTGTCCATGCCTCTAACATAAACCGCATCAGACCAGACAACACTAGAAATCGAACATAGCTGGCTTGATAATTCTAAAGGGCTTGGGAGGTAGATCAAATTACTCTATATATATATATATATCATAGTAAGAAGCCCTTCAAACATGCACTACCAATCCTTAAGCTATGTGGGCTCTTATGAGAAAGACCACGACTCGGAACCCCGACGATTTCTTCGGGGGTGGCGCGTCCGTGGCGGTGGCCTCACAAGACTCGGCGGGTTAAGGGGTTTGCGTTTAGCGTTCAGTGCTGAACTTGTTTTGTTTGTGGTTGGAGCCTAAACCCTAAACCCTAAAACCCTAAACCCTAAAACCCTAAAATTGTTGGGCTCATGGTTTGGGGTGAAGGGGAGATGTGAAAAAATGATGAGCAGTATTGAGGTTCAGGACCTACGTGTTGAGTTCTGAAAGGCTTAAGTCGCTGCACTTGGAGGTTCATGGGTAGTTATAAATAGGGTTATAAGTAGGATAACTATACTTATAACCCATATTCGGGGACTTATAACTCTACTTATAACTACCCATGAACCTCCAAGTGTTGAAGGTTGAGCAAATGCTTTTCGTTGAGGTTTCAGTGAGGTTACTGCGCTTGCACAGGTGGACCGCAAGCAGAACATCAGATCAGGAGTTTTTGTTGGGGTCTATGGATGCCGCTGTTCGGCGGCAGGACTCAGGAGTTCGGGCTTCAGGTCAGGTAGTTACACTTCGACCGTGCACACGCGTGCAACTGCAGAAGGTGTCTAACTATAGAGACAGTCTGCATTCACCCAAACTCCAATATAGTGTGTACGCCTATGTCGTATTAGTGCATGCAGTATGTAGAGATTTGCTTGTACATACACATATGCATGTGCACATGACTATACATGTGCAAGTACAGGTACATCTACATATCCATGTGAAATTGCAATTACACGCACATGTACATACATATGCTGATACATATACGTGCACATATACAACACCGACATATGCATACACAGACACACAGACACATAAACTTGCATATACATGTACATGTACATATACATCCGGGTACGCTCTCCTGCCTCTTTGATTGATAGGCTTGCCCGGAGTTCGCTAGCAATGCTCTAGCTCCGCCTGCCCGACAAGACAAAGACAAAGACAAAGACAACACACTTTGAAGGCAGTACGTAAGTCAACGAATAAAACCGCAAATAGCACATCCACACATCTGCGTGTATATACATACATACATATATATATATATATGTACATACTTCCATATCTGTAGTAGAAGCCCAAACGTTGCAAACCCAATAGCCTCAGTCCTTAATGTAGAGGGACCCCAGCACTAATTGTCCTCAATCCGACTTCCAACTTTTTGAGATTTAGTATATCAAAATGTCTGAAATGCTATGCGGATCCTGCTTCTTCTGAGGTCTTTTGGGGCCGCTGTTTGGACAAGCAGCTGTGGTCTCAGGCGCAGTTGAGCTGGTGGCCGGGGGCTCCGTCCTGCACTGCACAACTTTAGGGGCTTCAGGTGTGGGCTTTCGGGTTTTTGGGGTTTAGGGTTTAGGGTTTAGGGTTTAGGGTTTAGGGTTTAGGGTTTAGGGGGCTCAGGCTTACGACGTCGAGTCAAGGCATAATTTGAATCTCCTCCTTGATGCCACCAATAGAGGGTTTCTAGGGTTTAGAGGGGTCTGTACATGGGTGTCATAAGGCTTACTCTCAGCTTCTATATATGGTCTTTCTAGGATTTTATATGTGGGTTGGGAATGGGGCTTCATACGCTGGTCACAGTTCTATAGGGTTTCATGAAGGCTTGATCGGGTTTTCTTTAGCTTTGCGGTCCAATGTACATGCTTTTATGAAATAGAGTAGAGTTTTGGAGTGCATGATAGTATAAGTCTACAATTAGAGGAGTCTAGCTAGTGATTCATAAGTATTCAGACCAGACCTCATAGTAGACAACTGGTTTGTAGGTACTTGGGATGGTGTACTGGGAGAACTGGACATGGGTAGTTCTCTAAAGTAGGTCCCTGTTCTTTGGTCTCCAATATAGCACAACACCCTTATGAAAATCCTAAAGGGGACCCTATTTCCCCAGAACTACCCACATAAACACTGAAGGGCGACACCCAAAGCGCACGTAGGGTTTAGTGGTGTCTAGGCTTCTGGGTTCCGGGTCTCAGGTTTCGATGGTTCAGGACGCGGGACTTGGATGGGGTGCAGGGCTTGGTGGTTAAAGCTTCAGACCCCGATACCTCTAAACCCTAAGCCACCCTAAACCCTAAACCCTGAACCCTAAACCCTGAACCTTAAAATCCTAAATCCTGAATCCTAAACCCGACACCCTAACCCCAAGGCCTTTCAGACCCTGGACATCAGGATGGCATTCTCACGGCCGGCAGATTTTTAACTCCCGAAATCCGAAAGGTCAAGCTTCAAATCTTCTGCCGCAAAACTCACAGCGTAAACCCTGCTAAATAGAAAGCTCAAAACACTGAACTCCCAAAGCCGCAGATCCTGATGCTTTTCAAAGTGCATCAAATCAACCCGGAACCCTGAACAATAGAGCCCCACCAACGGGAGTTGAAACCAAGATTTTGATGTGGGGGCAGCCTGGTAGGTGGAGCTTTCGGTGCACCTGCAGGCAGCGTCTCACGATGATGATGATGACGATGATGAAGATGATGAAGACGATGATGATGGTGATGATGATGCTGGTGGTCATCATCATAAAACAGAATAACACGATCATGCTGACAAATGCTCGTCGCGGCGCCTTCTGTTGTCATGACCGCAAGCCTATGACACACTGAACAGATCCATGCTACAAGTAATCCCAGCGCCTTGCGCAAGAAGACCACCCAGAGCACCAGCTGCTGAGGAAGTCATAGCTGTAGACTGATTCAGCACCGACTTCGCCCCCGACCTTCAACATGGGAACTACAGTTTAGGGTTTAGGGTTTAGGGTTACAGTAATTCTTATGGGGATGCGGGCTAAGCTCATAGTTATAGTTTAAGGACACGTATGGATACTCTAGTTGTTCAGACCCCTATAATGTAGGGGCCTTAATAATTAGAATCGGAAACCTTGGGTCTATTTTACTATAACTATAATAAGGAACCCCCCCAAAATGGTATAGGTAATTATCTAGGCCCCTTTTTGGTTGCATGCTTTCGCATTTTCGGTATGCGGAGCTTGGGCTCGGGCCGGGGGGCGGGTTTACTGAGCCTCGGCTTGGAACTTCCCAAGCTCTCAGCTTTTTATGCGTTTAGGGTTTAGGGTTTAGGGTTTAGGGTTTAGGGTTTAGCGTTTAGAAGATGCCTTCCCCTACGCTGCGCCTTCGGGTTTAGGTGTTAGGGTAATTTCAGGTTTTGTGGGCTAAGTTAATATTGACTGACTTTCAAAACATGTATGTTCAAAAGCGAGGTCTGTGTAACTAGACTAAACCCTAAACCGTAGACTACGGATTAAACTGGTTTGAGAGAACCTAAAGCCTATATTATAAGTATAAAAAGCCCCGATGCCCTACTGTAGGGGCCTTAATAATCAGAAAAGGGTTTTGGGGTATATCATACAATAATTACAATAAGGAGCCCCCAAAATACGATTGGTGGTTGTTTATTTTGGCTTCTATATTCAAGATCCGTTTGACACCTTACTTGTGGCAGTCCTGAATATAGTAGGTTAGTTACGGGTTTCACAGGTATGCCGCAAACCCTTAAACCCCCAGCCCTGCACAAGCCGTCAGAAGCCCTATAAGACCCCATGGCATCTACTCAGAAAAAACCCTATCAAACCCACAGAAGCCCATGAAAAGCCCTATGAAATCGATCCACCCCTTGAAAACAAACCTAAACCCAAAACCCTAAACCCTAAACCCCTAAACCCCTAAACCCCAAACCCTGAACCCTGACCCCTAACCCTAAACCCTAAATCCTAAACCCTAAACCCCTAAACCCTAAACCCCAAACTCTAAAACCCTAAACCCCAAGAGGCGGACGGAGAGCAACGACATGGGGGTTTCCAAAATTAGGGGACCCTAATATAGTACCCCAAATAGTAGGATCCTTATTATAAGGACCCCAAAATAAGGTCCCCCACATTTTCGGAAACTCCCACATGGGTGGTTGTCAAAATTAGGGTCCGTTATTGGGTCCTTATTATAATACGGCACCTATTATTTAGGGTACCCCAAAAGGGACCAGAATTTTGACAACTACATGGAAGCCCCAAGGTTATCGGGGCTCGGGCGCTTTCTTCGCGGGCGGCGGCTCCGACGACGCGTCCTCCGCAGTTTCGGGCACCGTCCTGAATGGCCGGGGGGGGTTTAGGGTTTTTAGGGTTTAGGGTTTAGGGTTTAAGGTTTAGGGCTTAGGGTTTAGGATTTAGGGGGTCTGTGGGGTTGTCTGGGATCTGAGTTTAGAGGTGTGGAGCTTCCAAGGGGAGGACGAAAGGGGGCTTCATTCTCACCTTCAAAACCTTCGAAGGCTTCACAGGGGAGGACGAATGGGTCTGTCGGAGGGTTAACCGTTTAGAGTTCCTGGGTTGTAGTTTCGGGGCCCTGAAAAATATTGATGAATAGGTGCCTCTAGAAGAACCATAAGGGCCATTTTAAAGTTTCCCAAAGTGCCACCCAGGTTCTCATGTCTCGGAAACCTCTATCATATATTTGTTCTGTGACCCAGAGCCTCACGACAACCGGATTGAGGTCTACACCGACTCTCCGATCATGTAATAGGGTGACATTCCTCAGATTACCGCAGGTTTCCTCAGAAAAAACTGGTGAACTAAGGGGTATTGGCCTCATAGTAGAACGTTCTGCTCAATGTTATGACTCAGACCCTAAACCCTAAACCCT